CTTTGCATTTGCTATGGGGACCATTGGAAACACCATTTACATCATTGTACATTGAGTGATCTCTTTCTGTAGGACAGACATGTCCAACCCAAAGCCCCATGGGAAGCATGCAGCCCAGCCCAGCACACATGGCAGCATTTCCCCATCAAGCACCCCAGTCGTGTGGCTCTACCAGACTTCTATTAGCCCTCTCTTTCCGGAGGGAAACATCCCTCACTTCACAGTCTCACCTTATTCATGTATTCCTATCATCACCTTTTGGCAGCACACACATTTGTGAACAAAGGTTTTCAAGGATGAAGCACAGAAAGAGTATTTTTCATCAAAAATCTCTGATGAACACCTTGAGAGCTCACTAAGAATTGCAGATGCATCCATCAAACCAACGCAGCAGTTTCACAAAAGCAAGGTCAAATATCCCACTAGTTTTATGGTTTTGTTGCCCTCTTTTTCACATATTTTAATAGAAAGCGTTAGAAATTAGCATGTTTTGTTACTTACATACGTACATTATATATTTTATGAGGGCTGCTCCAAGAATAGTGCTTCCTGTTGCACAGTGTTGGCCCACAGCATCAAAGGTAGATGATGGTGGTATGGCAGTAGAGGTTCAACCTTCCCACCAGTATTCCCTTACATTTTGTTGCCATAGGACAGATGGCAGCAGACAGAATGGCATCTTACATGGAAATGTGTATGGAGCAAAGGAGTGTTACTGAATTCCTCCATGCAGAAAAAATTTCACCCATTGCTACTCATTGCTGCTTGCTGAATGTTTGTGGAGACCAAACAGTGGATGTGAGTACAGAGAGATGCTGAGGGGTGCATTTCAACAATGGTGACTGTGACATTGGGTCCCCTCTGCTGGTACAGATTCGTATGAGCGTGGCATGCAGGCTGGTGAAAATGCATAGCTGATAGTGGTGACTGTGTGGAAAAAAAGAGTGTTTTGTAGCCAAGAATTTGCACTATTCAACTGTGTTGTTGTGCTCTTTGTTGTCATTTCCGTGGAAATAATTGGGGGGCATTACTTTCAGGGCAGCCTTCCTAGATGCAGCCCTAGACAGTTCCTCTTCACTCAACGCAACCCAGGCAAGCCAAAAGATTTTAGATCCACAGAGTGGAGGAATTTGGACACTTTAAGCCTTAGGTGGGATGCACAAGTCAAAAGTGAGGAAGAGTTTCAGCAGTGAGCAACCTTGGCTTGGGGAATTAAGGATTTTCAAGAGGAGGAGGTTGTGAGTACAGAAAAGGAAATCCCATCATGTGGTTTTTGTTGTTGTTGTTGTTTTCCTGCCCCATCTGTCAAATGGGGGCTAATTCCTCTGGGGCTGCTTATTCTTCTCCGTCATTTTGGGCTGACGAAAGCACTACAGTCAGCGCGTAAATTATACATGCCCTGGAGCTGCTTTACATTATCTGAAGCTTCAGTCCAACTGAGAATAAGGGCTGTATCAAGGAGCAGTGATAAATGTTTGCAAAATACATGAAAGATAAAACCCACGGTGTCAATAACGACTGGCGCTATTCTGTTTCATCATCTCGCATTGGCAGTAGCTAACGGACGGGAGGTCGTACGAAGGAATCTCTTTTTATTTTCAGTAGCCATGAGACCCTTTTAAAACCTTCACCCCGATGTGCTGTAAGAGTAATGAATCGTCCCCTCGGCGTGATGTTAGGATTCAGCAGCACGCAGTGTTTTCAGGTGCGAGGCGATGGATATTGTTCTGCGGACGAGGTTCCTTGTTAGCGTGGGTTTTTTTAAAAGGGCTCATTGAAGTGCCTTGCCATAAAATTATGCTTTGATCATATCCATTTGCTGTTAATGAATCCAGATGGGTGAGCAGCAACCGGATTGTAACTCTCTGATAATACATGCGCTGCCTTTCATTTTCTCACACGGAGTTTTGGAAGATCCTGTGCTGGCCCAGCTAACGAATCCAGCTGTATTAACATGGCCTAATGCATCCTCATACATAGCATCCCCAGAGACACATGCAGATGTGTCAGGATTGCTTTGGAAAAGGTTAGAATGGTTCAGAAAAATAGCCATTACATATCTGGTGCTGTCTTCTTTCATATGGTAATTCTCTTTTCTGTCTTCTTTTTTTCTTTTTTTTCTTTTCTTTTTTTTTCTTTTTTTTTTTTTTTTCAAAGTCATACAACTAGCTTAATATTCTCATTAAATCAAAAGACCTTATTCTAAAATCAAGATATTGGCAGGAACTCAGCTCTGGTCTTAATGTTGTTGTAGACAGGAAATGGGAGAAACGACAAAGAAACCAGCAATGCCCTCCTTTTTAGCATCCAGTATTTGTTTTTCTAAGTTGTTGTTTTCTCAAATACTGAGTTACACAATGAAATATCGATGTGGCAGATTGAAACCAGTTCTCATTCATATAATCGTAGAATGACCTGGGTTGAAAAGGACCACAATGATTATCTAGTTTCAAACCCCCTGCTGTGTGCAGGGTCACCAACCACCAGACCAGGCTGCCCGGAGCCACATCCAGCCTGGCCTTGAATTCATCTGGGAATGGGGCATCCACAACCTCCTTGGGCAACTTGTTCCAGTGTGTTACCACCCTCTGAGTGAAAAACCTCCTCCTGATATCTAACCTAAACCTCCCCTGTCTCAGTTTAAAACCATTCCCCCTTGTCCCATCGCTGTCCACCCTTGTAGACAGACATACTCCTGTTTATATGCTCCCTTCAAATATTGGAACCTCTTAGCATAGTTGCATGTCCAAGGTAGGAAGTTCTCTGCTATACGAGGACATATGGAAGGACAGAGTCTTCACCTTGTAGACTTAAAAGATATCAGTGAATATCATGGGTCTGGAAATCCCACTCATGTCTCACAGTGCACTATCACTGGACAATGAAAAGTGTGGTTATCCATGCAAAGAGGCAAGTCACTGCTTTTCTTTCTCTTATATAAGCTAGTAAGTCTGGTATTCTTTTTCCCCATGTATAAATGTTAACTTTAATGCCTCCCTGTTAGAACCAGCCCCAAAAGAAAACAGCTGGATTTGGACTAAGACGACAAGGCAAATTCTTTATTTTCCATGTGTGCAGTCATAGATATTCTTCTGAATCCCATCAGCAGGTTGGGAGATCACCTTGTCCTCTGCTTAGAGCCAAACATTGGCCTTTGTGGCACATTTAGCCATTTTGGTGCAAAGTGAGGCACCTTTGCTCAACCCCTTTCCATTACTTTTGGGCTGGCTTAGCTCTGAAGCTAAGGGTTGAGGGACAGCAGCTCGTTTATCAGCTCAAATGCAATGTAGGCAACTGCTTGTAGTAACAGGAGCAGCAGCATCAACTAGAACATCTTGATAGGACATGGGATAATGGCTCTAAGTTGCAGCCTGGTCTGGAGGTTGGCGACCCTGCACATAGCAGGGAGTTGGAACTAGATGATCATTGTGCTCCTTTTCAACCCAGGCCATTCCATGATTCTATGACTGTATGAAAAAATTCTTCTCAAAAGGAGTGATGAGGCATTGGAACAGACTGTCCAGTGAGGTGGTGGTCATCCCTGGAGGTGTTCAAGAAACATGGAGAGGTGGCACTTGGGGACCAGGTCTAGTGTGCATGGTGGGGACAGCTTGATGGTTGGACTAGATGGTATTAATGGTCTTTTCCAACCTTAATGATTTTATAATCTTAAAGATCACCTAGTTCCAACCAACTACTGTTAACAGGGTTGCTACCCACCAGATCAGGCTGCCCAGGGCCCCATCCAGCCTGGCCTTGAACACCTCTAGGGATGGGGCAGCTACAGCTTCTCTGGACAACCTGTCTCAGTGCCTCCGAGTAAAGAATTTCTTCCTAACATCTGACTTAAATGTCCCCCTTCTTGTAGTTTAAAGCCATCTCCCTTTGACCTATCCCTGTTAGTCTGTATAAAGAGTCAATTTTCCTCCTGCTTATGTTTTCTGGAAGTCCCTGGAGTCACAGAATCACCGAATCGTGTTTGAAGAGACCTTAAATATCATTGAGCTCCAAGCCAGCATGTCCCCAGTATAACTGGAGTCCAACATTTCTCAAATGAATCACAACTCCCAGTTCCTCAGTCTCCTTCTTTGCCTTTGTGCTTAGCTCAGGAGGAGCCCTTCATTCTAGTGAGCCTAATATTAATTCAATTTGTATCAGCTTGGGACTTTGATAACCTTCTTTCTGTATTGTTTATAGCAACAAAATTAAATACAGCAGGCAAGTCACCTTGGGGTGCCTCAGAAATCCCAAAATTCTTGTAGGGCTCTATAAATCTTGGATGTTATCAGATGCACAGTACCTCCTTCCTCCTGCAGGCTGTCTCAGCTCGCTCATCTGTAGACTGTGAAACAGTGTTTTTGATTTTCAGATTTGCCCTGTACTTCCTGTGTATTAAAATTGTTTGTAGTAACAAAAGGATTGCAAGGTGCTGCTTAACCCTCAGCCTCTGGCAGAATGCTTGTTCCCAACACATGTAGTTTGTACCGATGTGAGCAGTGGGTGTAGGGTAGTGAAGCACTGGCACAGGTTGCCCGGAGAGGTGTTGGATGTGCCATCCCAGGAAACACTCAAGGTCAGACTGGATGGTGCTCTGAGTGACCTGATGGAGCTGTAGGTGTCACTGTTCAGTGCATGGCAGTTGAACTAGATGACCTTTGAGGGTCCCTTCCAACTCAAACGTTTCTATGATCAAACATCGGAATGTTGAGGTTTCATCTCGTGAACAACAAACCCATTGAGCTTTGTTGGTCCTGGGCCAGAATTTTCCCATCCTGATATTCAAGCCCTTTCGCCATCCCTCTTCCTCTCTCACATGGTTTCTGCTTTTTCTTCTTTTGCTCTGTTTTATGTCACTTGGTGGCATGGACTCTTCCAGCATCTGCTGATTGTCAGAGAGGATCAGCTGTATGATTGCATCTGTCACATTAATTAGGAAAACATGAGAAGGCTGATATTAAGATATATTGGCTATTCATGTTTCTATTTTCTTTCTTTTCCAGAGCACAGTAATTGTGGAGAAGACTGTTCAAGACCTGATGAACCTGATGCATGACTTGAGTGCCTATTCGGATCAGTTCCTCAACATGGTGTGTGTGAAGCTCCAGGAGTACAAGGACACCTGCACCCTTGCCTACAGGTATGAACAGGATCAGAAACCCATGAATGCTGGAGATACTTCTCATTGTCTTTTGCTTCATGACACGAGTAGGAAGGAATTACTTCTAGAAATCTGAAATAGTGATCATTGCTATATGCAGAGTTTTGGCTTTCCAATGACTTTGTACACATTACCCTATGGTTTAAGCTTTTTAAGTGATAGAATTGCCAAAATTAGAAAAGATCTTTAAGATCTTTCAGTTCAACCATCCGCCTACTACCAATATTTCCCCACTAAACCAGGTCCCTTAGTGCAACATCTAAACGTTTCTTCAACATTTCCAGGGACAGTGTCTCAACCACCTCCCTGGGCAGCCCATTCCAGTGCCTGGTAGGTGATAGCAGAGCTTAGAAACAGCATGGCGTTGTTCTTAATCAGATAAAAGTTGGCCTCAAGTTGAAGATGAAGAGCATAAAGCATCATCTCTAATATAAATGGACGTATAGTGGGCTGACAGCTAGACCTGACAATCTTGGAGGCCTTTTCCAACCTCTATCATTCTGTGATTCTCTAAAGCTATTGCTTGGTTGTGAAACAAGTCAAATCTTTCCATTTGAACCATTCCATTCTTTGTTCCCCCAATTATTTTTTTTTTAAAGAACAGCTGTATTTTAGTTATATAGAGATTTGAGTATTCAGATATCATGCCAGTGTAGAAATTCATAACCACAACACTCCATGTAAATATGCACATGCTGGGTTTTGTGGCACTTGCCCATAACCTTCACATAAATTTACTCTTTTAAGGGGCTGCTATATACTCTGTTCTGTGCTGTTCATCATTGTTTTGGGGGAAGGAAGATCTGTCTCTACCTGCTTCCCAAACCATGGTGTGGAAGCTAGACTCAGTGAGATCCCACTGGGCTCAGGGTTGGGACGCAGAGTTTGAGTCCTTTGGGTACTTTATCATAGATTTCCTTGGTAACCATCAATAAGTAACATATTCTATGTACATCTCAGCTGCCCATCTGTAAAATGGCTCTCCCTGGAGAGAGGGGCCAGGAGCATGCCCCACGCCACGGGGATAAATACTGGCATTGAAAGACACTAAAGATGCTGCGGCAATGTGGGCTATAATAGCTGCTATACATAATCTCCTTTAATAGCTAATTGAGGCTGGCGATAGCAGGGGAAGCTGAAAAAGCCCCTTGTGTTTTCTGACCAAAAGCATTAAGAAATTATTTCCTATTGCCTGATTTCATTCAGAAGAAGCTTCATCTGGCGAGCGGCTGCGTATGGGCTCATTATTATTATTAATAGCACCAACAATAGCAGTGAGAGCATATGGGGGCTAAACGGCGTCCGAGCGCGCGTGTAAATTGGTAGCTATGCTTGTGCCATTGTCCAAAATGCTCATATTTTATATGAAACTTCATTGACTGGAGCCAGACAATAGATGTAATTTCTTTGGCTTGAACTTAAAGGTCCTTCCTTCCTTCCTTTCCTGATACCATTCCTGGCTTTGGCACCTGCTGAGGCATAATTAGGACAGCCCTCATTTGGCAATATCCTGATTACAGCAGGAGGAAAAACAGGAAATGTTCTAGTTTTGCTGCTAGCAAATGACTGACTGAAATAGAAATCTATATACATTTCAAATGATTTGGAGGAATACAGCAGCTATCCCTGTGAGCAGTTCAATGCACGGGGTCAGCATGCCCTCTGCAGGGACATTGCATCTCTACGGCTCAGCACTGACCGTGGTTTTCCTTCAGGGTTTCAGAAGGATGAATCTTCACAATGATAGAGTTAGAATTCTGCTTAAAATCAGAATCAGCCCTTTAGAGCTGTATCCTAATGCAAGGCTATTGAAGGAAGGGAGTGTGCATCTGTTCTTGAGATATCAAAATAATTAGAATTTGGGAAGGCAGAGAGACAGTTTACGTAAGATGTACACGTGGCATTTGTTCCCTTCCCATGTGCATGTGTTTTCTGAAGGGGAATAGGAAGAAACATGGATGAAATGTATTCAAATACAGGCTCTTCAGAGGAAGATGCTTTCATTTGGAGTCTTCGCAGTACAGAGATCTCCGTCAGGACGTCAGCATGAAAAATGCCAAGCTGAGATGTTTCAAGTTTGATTTCCACTTGGCTCTGATTTTCTAGCGAATACGAAAACTAACAGGGATGATTGTGAATGGATTGGTCCTTTATATAAGCAGCAACTACAGATTTTCTTGCTTTAATTGATGACAAATTTTGCAAGCGTATTGAATCCAAACTAAATGAGATGTCTTCTGTTTGTGACAAGTTTGACACAGACTGTTTACAAACGTTGAGTTCTGTTTTTCACCCCATCTCCATCTTTTTTCACCCCATCTCCATTGTATTTACTTGTGCTTTTTTCAACCTGTTTGAAGAATCTGAATTCAGTCACACAAATGACTCTCCAGTCTGTGAAAAGAGATGGACATTTCCAAAGAGACATTCATCTTAAAACATGGCTGTACTGTCTGGAGGTGCCCAGTTCTCAGCATCAGCTATAAAGGAAGCTTATGGTGATCAGCCTCCTGGTTGAACTACCTGCTGTGTTTGTTTGGTGGGGTAAAGCTGGTTGTAGCCCTCTGCAAACATTATCAGCAAACCCAAATAAAACTAAGCCCCCCCTTTTATAGGTAAGGAAATGAGAAGATGAATCTGAGGGATGGGAAGTCAAAATGGGATTTCTCAAGTCCCCAAGAAGTGCTTTTACCACTCAGTTCAGTACAATTTACTGACATCTTCCCCTTCACAGAATCACAGAATCACGAATCTAAAAACTTTCCGGGCAGGTTCTGTGTCCCTCAGGCCAGCAGGTGCCTGCCATGTGCTGAACATACTTCTTTTAAACTCTTAGCAATTCGAGCAGAGCTCAATGTGGCAACATCCCCGTGGCCATGGGAAGAGAAAAAAATCATTCCCAAATACTACTGACACAACTCAACAGAGCCCAGTTAGCCTCTGTGGTGCACAGATGTTTACCTAATGAAAATCTTTGATCCCCAGCTGTGTCCAGAGATGTTCTCCATCACTCTACTCCCAGCCTGGGGATACCCTGATGCCAACCTGGGACCACGACCACCAGCAGATGTTTTCTGGCTAAAACTCACTGAGCTGTAGAAAAGCAAACCCTCTTGCACATGTGCTGTCACCTGTGCAAGACTTACACCTATTCCCTGTGCACTCCTGAGAGCTGGGTACAAACAGATGGCATTTTTCTGGGCCCATTGAGCTGTGAATTAATTAGTTGATTATGGCTCTGGTGGTGGCAAGTAACCCTATTACAACAGCGGGAATAATTGCACAGGACTTTGGAAGAACAGGGGTGTTTGGAAGGAAGCACTCTGCACTAAAACATGTCATCCTGTCTTGTGATAATTTACTCGAGGACTTAAATTAGGTTGACATTGATAAGAAGGTATGGAGGCTGAAAACTGACTGAGATGTTAAAAAGAAAAGGAAAGGAAAAAGGTGTCTTTAATTGATGGGGAAAGCTGGGCTTCCAGCAGAGATCAGGGCACGTTCCACCTTATTTAACACCTTCCATAATGAGGAGGTGGTTACATAAAACCAGCCTGTCAATAAAAATTAGGAGGTGTTGCAACCATGGGAAAGAGTAAGGAAATAATTCAAAGGGATCCGTGTAGTGGTGGCAGCGTCCCAGCATTGAGGCATCCTACTGATTGCAATGGAGAAATCTGCCAAGGATTCCAATGGCTCACGGTGCCACGGAGCAAAATGTCAGCAAAATTTAAGAGAAAAACAGAACTGTGTGGGTTAGGTTGTTGGAAAAAGCTAACCCTAAAAAAGCAAGGAGACCTATCTCAGTTTGGAACTCGCTATAGCAGCCAGATGGACATCCTTCTCTTTTCCCTTGACATCCACTTCAAAAAGCAATGGCGTTTTTGGACAGCGGATAATAAGGATCGTAAAACACAGAGGGATCTCTGTCCTCTGTCTGACTCCATAGAAGACTCCCAGATGGCTTTCAATTGTATACATCTAAGGGGCTATGATAATGCTGTAAATCACTGAGTACTCATGCTGTGTACTGAGTCAACTGTAAGGGAAAATATCAGGGAGCAGTGAGATGAAACTGAGCAAAGTAAAACCTAAGCACAGTACTAGGATTCTTTTCTTTGTCCAAGAGTTAGATTTGTTCATCTGTGAAACAGACTCCTGAGGGAAGGAGTCTATTACTTTAGTCATTTAAATCTGGAAAGGAGAAAGCGATGGCTGATGTGTTCCATGGAACAGTTGTCCTGCCTTGGCAAAGAAATGGCCAAATATCATCAAATTCAGTTTTTCTAGCTTGGATGTCAGAGATTCTAGTGGAGTGTTTTTTTCCCAATGTGTTGAGCAGTGCTTTTTTTCGTAAACAGAAAAATACCAAGTTCCTAAACAGCAGCAGAAGGCCAAATTGATATTTTCAAGCTGAGGTCTTCTGTGGCTGAAAATAGAATTCATTCCTTTTTTTTTTTTTCTTTTTTTTTCTTTTTTTTTTTGTCTGTGGTAAATTGAACATGAAATTTAAAGATAAGGAATATTTGTATGTAAGCGCATGTGACAAATTCATTCTCACCAATCATGTGTACTTACCAAGCAGAGGTTGTTTCCTTGGTGGTAGGTGAAAGGAGCAATTGGTTGCTGGTGGAAAAAGAAGTAATCTGCTCTCTTTCAAGATAAATCAGTGTTGGTTCCTACCTCAGTGCCATTTTCACTCTTTTTCAAATTGCATAAGCCTGTTCATTGACAAAGCCTAATTAAAATGAGACTGGTTAACTCGCAGAACCCCTTAGAAACCTGGAGGATCCTTATTTGTGATCCTGCATAACCCTTCCAAAACCACCACTGGAATGGTAGTGCCCCATGCAGCATTCCAAATGACATCCTGAAGTGTGCAGCCCAGTGAATGTCACTGTGAGGTCCAGATTCAGCTGGCATGGGTTGAGCCAGCACCCATCTGTCCATAGTGCAGCACCCAGCAACTCCAGTTCTCAGCTGGCAGACCCTGCATTGAATCCCTGCATCTTTTTCATGTACACCAGAAAGAGGGCAGTATCACCATGTTCTTGCTTTGAGTGGTGTGGATGGATGACATCTCTTCTTCTTGAGCTGAGAATGTAGTCCAACTTGTTACTATGCAAAGACCTCCTAAAAGAACCTTTTAGAGGTTTGCCAGTGAAGGAAATTGGTGATAGGATGTAGAAGGAAATACCAGTACCCCTCATTCCCCCTTGTTTTTTTCTAAGAAGGTAAAAAATATCTCCCAGATCTTAGCAATCTGATGAACAACTCAAGAGTGGGAGAGGACTTTCAGCTCAATGGTGTGCTAGTAGATCATAGAATCATTCAGGTTGGAAAAGACCACTAAAGTCATCTAGTCCAACTGTTGACCCATCACTACCATGCCCACTAAATCATGTCCCTCAGTGCCACAGAAATAGCAAGAAAGAATGGAAGAGCACTGTGCTGTGATCTCGAGCAATCACAGCACACAAATTAGACAGCTAATTGACTCCTCCAGGTACAGAATCCCTTTTATCTCTTGCAATTGACAGTGAGGATTTCTGATTAAACAGGGAAAGTCTTCATAACCAGAATACGCTGTGATCTTTATTCAATTTCACACATATATACAATTCAGCTGCAAACTGTGTTATTAGTTGTTTTGGATGTCTGGAGGGAAGATTCAGGCCCCTCCATTTCCTTTCATTGCTTCAGACCTGCTCCCCATGTAGGGCCAGCTGGTGTGCAGTGAACTGATGCCTCCCACCCAGGTCTTCCTGGGCAGGTTTCCACATGGCACTCACAGCACAATCACCAGCCAATGGTGGCCTCATTTGAGATGGTAGAGAGCAAATGAGCTGTAGAGAAACTGCCTTCTCATTCTCTTAGTACAGAATGACCTCCTCCACTCGTGTAAAATGATAAGTTGAATGATTTCAAAGGTGGGAGAATATGGCCAGGGGGCTCTATCAACATATATCTTGAGTCATGAGGAATTTATATCACATCTGCTGGTGTTCTTATGCCTTCCCCACAGGTTCTTTGTTGAACTCTTCTTTGGACCCACACATTAATACTCTGTTTTGCAGATCAGTACGTGGTAAAGATTTTAATTAAAATGTGTGGAATCCTCTAAAAAGTTGAATTTACTTTGCAGTAATGTGATTGTTGCTGGTTTCCCACAGGAGCATCGTGCAGTCAGATGAAAAGCTGGTGATCAGTGCATCCTGGGCTAAGGATGATGATATCAGCAGGCTCCTGAAATCTCTGCCCAACTGGAGCAACATGGCTCAGCCCAAGCAACTGAGACCCAAGAGAGAGGAGGAGGAAGATTTTATAAGGTAAAATATTTTGTAGCTGAAATTGCAAAAGGTTTTAAAATAGAAGTAACAATGGTAAAAACAGCTGGAAGCAAAGTAATTACAGTGCTGTGTCTCCAGGTATGAGGGGAGTTTCAAAAGTGATCTTTCCTTGAGTGGAATAATAAAGCACGAGTTCATATGTCCTTATACGAAGGTACCATCTTTGTTGAACTGAGAACTTCCTGTGCATTACCTGGGTTCAAACAACACTCAGATACAGGGTTGCATTTTGAGATGGTCCTGTGTGTAGCCAGGGGTTGGAGTCAGTGATCCTTATGTGCCCCTTACAATTCAGGATACCCTTTAATTCCATGATTCCATACCATTCTGAAGCTCTTCATCCTTCAAGAACAAGAAGAAAGCGGAGCTCCTCAGATGCAGCAAGAAAGAGAGGGAGACCACAAGTCAGTGAGGAGACTTCAGTAGCAGCCACCAGCTCACTATATTCCTTCATTTTTCTACTATTCCTGCTCTCTCTCTGTTGTTCATACATAGGTGTTTGGATGTAAAACAAATCAGGAAAGTGGCACAAAGGAAGAAGAGGAAGGGTTGTTTTAATTCATAGAATAGAACAGAATCATAGAATTGTCCATGGTTGAAAGGACCTTCAAGATCATTGAATCCAACCATCAACCTGACCTGCTGAATCTCATCTCTAAACCATGTCCTTCAGTATCTCTAGTGCTGAGGAATCCACCACTGTAGTGGACAGCCTGTTCCGGTGCTCAGCCGCCCATTCCATGAATAAATTCTCCCTAATATCCATTCTAAACCTCCTCTGGCACAACTTAAGACCATTAAGAAAACCAGTTAAGACTCAGCATTGTGATCACCACTTGGTCTTGTCAACATTGCACTGAACACTGTATCCTAAAACGCCCTTCACCCAGTTTGAAATTAAGCCAGAATCACTTATTTGTATTCTGTAACACCTTCCTCAGATCTTTTCATGACTGCTTTCCTTCCAGTCATGAAAGGCTTATTTCTGTCTCTAGAGGAATCAAGCTTCTTTCCATTCTGTAACATTCCTGTTTAGGGCAGTTTCCTTGTCCTGCTTGATGACCCATGCAATGGATAGAGCACTGTCCTTCAACCTAATGGTGGAAACAGCTGATTGTACTGGGGAGGAATTCCCACATCAGGAATTGCCACCAAAGCTGCTCTCTACACCAAAGCAGTTTTTCATCTCCATCCAGACCCCAGCATCTACTTAGGACACCCAAAAGGTGACTCAAAAAGCAGTGGTACCTCTAGAGGGGATTCATTCAGAGGCAACTTTCTGTATCCAAAAAAAATGGTTTCTACCTTTTCTTTTTAGCCTGTATGTGGGCAGATTGCATTTCCTTGCACACTGTAAATTGCTTGTTCTTTGAATCATTGGCCCATCTTGAAGAACCAGGTCCTCTTTGTCATTCCGGCGAGTCAAAAATCTTGTCTGCACATTCCCATTACTATTCATCACATCCGTGATTGGCATTTGGCTATAAAACTGTAGGAGTAAGTGAAGCTGTTGAAAATTAAAGTCTAATTTGCCCAGATTGTCATTTTCCTTGTTCACTGAATGCAAGCACAATAACATAAAGATGAGGGAGTCTAGAGAGGGAAGTGACAAGAAGAATAAAATACGTCTAGTCACAGAAACATTTGCTTGTACTGCAGTGGGTGTAATCAGCACTGCCAGTGTTTTTGTAAGTCTGATGATACCAAAAGGATGCAGAGCCCTTAAGGTGGGTTGGGCTTTTTTTGAGATTTGTGGATTCAGTCCTGGTCTCCATTTTTGTCTTCATATTATTCCTTTGTTTCTTGACATGAAGGGATGCTGGGATGCCCCACTGGCTCTTTTTGTGATTTATGAACCATGAGCCTCAGGCACCAGAACCCACAGTGACTCAGTGCTGGATACTACTGAGTATAACCTGCTAACATATATTCCTGGACTGGCCAAGCTCAGTCTGAAGATAACAGTGCCAGCATTTTGATCCTAGCATTCATTTTATTCCAATATTGTCACTTTACTAACCATCAGTCAAAGCATTTTGTGAAATTGTATCAGAAATATTAAAATAGAAGGCCCTATTAGGTCATCTACATTGAATTCACTGAGAAAAGCTCCTATACTCTGCCTATTTTTTAGCCTAGACATTAGGACAAAAATCTTTTCTCAGTATCTGTTTGCACAGAGCATTGTGTATTAAGCCTCAGTTCCTCAGAGTGCTGTTAGAACGCTCCTGTGGCATTAATTTGAATGATAATAATTGGTCTGGTCCAGTTTTAGCCATTGATGGTAAGCGACGTGGCTTATAAACTTCTTCAAGAATCTCTGCATGGTTGAATAGGTCCCTCCTGAAAGCTTCAAAATAAAATTAATTGCTTGTCCAATTTTTGTCATCTTCTTTCCATTTAAACACACTTTTTTTTCAGACTTTCTCCTAATACAGAGGATCGTGAATTCTTTGCTGCTGTTGCTTCTTTCTTTCCCTCTCGGCGTTGCTGATGAATTGGGAATAATTCTGCCATAGCTATCATTGCCTGAAGGCAGCTGCAGAGCCAAAGGGAAATGGGTATTGCAGATATCTTGGTTAGGGTCATCTCTGTGATACAGAGCCCACCCAAGATATTTGAAAGTTAATACATAGAAACCCACCTGTGTTCACCCACTCAGTCTGATGAGTGTTGCTGAATTAAACATGTCCTGAAAGTTTACAACTGGTTTTTAGACCGTGGCAGGAAGAGTTACCGGTGCACTGTTTTCTTTCCCTCTTCCTCCTCAGCTTTCCTGTAACTCATTTGTTTAATTAAAAGGAAGAATCCAAACGCAGTGCCTTTGCAAAAAAAAATCCTCGTGCGTATCTGTGTTGACAGTGATTGATTCTGTTGTCTTAACCTGCCACTTTGCGAATGCATGTCAAAAGGCAGGGTTGGATACTAGCAGAATCTCCCCATTAATATTCTGGCATGGCTGGCCAGACAAAGGGACCTGATTGAGCATATTATAGTAGCTCAGAACTTGGCAAGGGGAGAAAGGAAAGAAAAGTCGTGCCTCTATTCATATCATTCGTTTTTAAAGCTCTGAAGGATATTTGGCTGTGGGGTGAGTGTGAAATATGCTGCCCTTATCGCTTGATAAAGGTTACCCTTCAGTTCATTACTGAATCAGATATGTTGGTGATAAAATCCAGAGATGTACTATTTCCAAGTTTGCCTTTGATGAGGAAAAGCAATGTGAAAAGAGCTTCAGATCTGGTCACACTCGAGTTACAGCAGAAATTCCTGGTTTTCAGTGCAGCTCTGCAGCAGAAGGGGTTGCAAGTAACAAGGACATGTTGCACCCGAGAGAAATTGTGGGTTTGGGGAGCTGAGGGAGGCAGGCTTGCAATTTGTGTTTGCCTGGAAACCCCAAGTTGATTTCAAGATCACCCCACAGCACAGATTATTATGGTTGCAGATCTGAGACACCCGATCTGCATTAGGAGGAGGATGGAATGATTTCACTTCTTTTCATCTTTGGGTTCCAGCAGAATGCTGAACACCAAACTTAGGAGCAGATTCTCAGGCTGCAGCTGGTGTAGCAATAAAATAAAACCACAGTTCTCAGTGTCTCCTTTTTCCACATGCATTTTCTTCTCACTGCCTTTGCTTTTCTGTTGAAAATTAGGAAAACAATGAGAATTTTCAAGTTTTCAAGAAGGGAGTGGATGTGGCACTGAAGGATGTGGTTTAATAGGCATGGTTGGATAGACCATTGGACAAGATGATCTCAGTGGTCTTTTCCAACTTTAATGATTCTGTGATTCTATTAATAACCCTGACTGCAGGGCCAGAGTGCAACAGCTGCCTGCTGCCTCTCCAGCTCACCTGCAGACAGTCAAACTCACGCACTCTGCACCAAAAGGAAGGGGTCTATTGAAGCAGCATGGAAGGATGCCTGTACAGCAGCAGATCCTTCACCAAATGATCCCAAATGGCTTTGGTCAGGATAGTTACGTTATCTTAGCTGCTTAATAGGATCACCTCTCCTCCCTTGATGCAGGCAATGCAGTTCTCTAACAGTATTTCCAATGGAAAACTGGAGCCTGCATGAAAATTTGGGAGTACACTGGAAATATTACACAACTGGACAAGACAGATGGCTTGGACAAGCTGGATAAGTTGGATGAGAGTGAGAATGGACTAAAGGAAGTCTGACAAGAATGCATGGCAAAAAGTATATCCTCCAGTCTTGAAGTTCATGCAAGTTCATGAAATTGGTGTTGTACAAGTTCGGTGTCTGCTCTTGATCACAGCTTGAATTGGTTCAACTGCTTCCAAGGGGACTGGCATCCTTTACATTTTCCATTGCATAAATGGAAGATGTGGCGTAAGTCTGTGCCAACAGGCTGCTGAGAAAGGTGGTGGAGTCATCATCCTTGGAGGTGTTCAAGAAAAGTGGACGCTTGGCACTGAGGGACATGGTTTAGTGAGTGGGAGTGGATTTGATGATCTTGGAGGTCTTTTCCAACCAGAAATGAGCTGGGGCAATTTGCATTGGAGCTGCAAGCTCTTCTGTTGGTGTGCAAGGTGAGAGCTGCAAAGACAAGAGCATAGTGTTCTTCTGTGCCCTGGGATTGGGTGTTCTTCCCTTCTTCCACCTCTCTCTGGGCAGACAGAAGAAACTAGCAAGGGTCTTTGTCAAAAGCTGAGTCCTAGGTTAATCCATCTGCTGTCAGATAGGTGTCTTTTGTTGCGTTAGGTTTGGAGCTTTCCATTATTCTTACTGTCTTTTGATGCTGGAGCCTTGATGTTTCAAGGAAGGCTTTTCCCTTTCTTCACTTCTTAGCTTTCTCCCCTGTTTTCAGCAGTGGCTTCCCTGTCTCTCTTTTCTTGTCTTTTTCTCTCTTGAGAATAAAAGCTTTTCCTCTCCAGCTTTTCAGGCTCTTATTTATTATGTTCATAATACAAAAAGGGTAAAAAAATGGTTGTGGAAGATTGGCAGCCGACTC